AAATTAACTGTCCTCTTTTTTCCCCCCCCCCCCAAAAGGGCCCACCCCCCCCCCCCCCCCCCCCCCCCCCGGCCCATCTCCCACATGTATAACACCCTCACCACCAAGCTCATTCCACTGAAAAAAATTCATCTAAAATTCAAAAAATCGTTAAATTTTAAATTTTTTTTAGCCTTTTATGCATAAAAAAGAGCAAACTGTGGTGAAGGAGTCCTCACCTTTATACTTATAGATTTATGGCGAAAGATTATACCTTATGATAAACAGATAAGAGCAAACCATGCAGCACCTATCTTTTATTTGCTACACTAACTAACAGTCATGAAGTTTAATAAGACTTCATCCATGCTGATCCACAATTTCCAAAACACCTTAGAAGTCACATAATACCTCTAAATAAGGCAGGTCTGAGTGGAGGACTTAATACCCACTTTAGGCCAATGTATTGTAAAGGGGTAGGATTTCATGAATGCACCCTCAAAAGGACCCCAGGCCCGTAGCCAGGGGGGGTTCGGGGGGTTTGAAAGAACCGCCCCTTTTGTCAGGAAAAGGTCCATTTTGGGTAAAAATTTATCTACATACACGTAAGTTTCATTGTAAAAGGTCCACTTTTTCAGAAAAAGAACCCCCCTTTTGAATTTGCTGGCTACGGGCCTGGACCCCCTCCCCCTCTGCAACACTTATGCCAACATTAACGGATATCCCAATGTAGCTTACCTGTGAAATCCCTGGCTCCCTGATAACTAGACAGCAGACATGCAGACAGAGCTCTGCAGGGTGTCAAGACATTACAAATCACCTGATAAACCTCTGATGTACTGGCACACTCTGGAAGGGTAACAAAGATCTTCGCCTTGCCTCTGCACAGGGTGGGTCAAAAGTTGACAAACTGTAGATCCATGAAAACCTTTTTCACAAACCATGTATTTGGGGGGAAAAATATGCTTGACAGTATCTGCATCAGTCTCTACCAATATCTTTTATCGCACCAAGTGATCGGGTCAATGTGATACCTCTGACTTTGGGCGAAATAACACAAATGGTATGATGCTTAATGAAATAGAAGTACACACTCCTTTGAGGACCTCTGTAATAAAGTAAAGCCTAATGAAGCACTTCGACCTCCTTTCTGCCTAACATAACATCTCGCTGCACCACAATACCCACAACACACAGCACTAATCGCAATCAATACATCATTACCCATTGTGCGCTAAATGGTTACTTTATCCTTTATTGCCTCCCAATCTATTCACACTTGGGGCTTAATTGATCTTAAATAGCTCTCTCCATTATTTGGATTTTTTCCTATAAAAACACTCTTCAGTCTCGGCAGAATTGACTGTGCAAGAGATTGACTGCTACAGTGTTTTGTCTGGGAAGTTTGACAGTATTCTTACTAACATAAATAATCCTGATGATATTTCCTTTGGAGAATGCACTTCATGAATGGTATAAGCAATCAGCTTCTTTTATATATATTAAATGATCATTAGAATCTATATGAGCTTGTTAAAACTGGAGATGGTTACTGTATACTATTTATACCTTTTAATTTTTATTCCAATTAATAAGCTATCTGCAGCACTTGCACATTCATTTAAATGTCCAATATTTACAATTTAGTATCTACTAGCATTTCTAAGAAAGGCTTTAATAAACAATAAACTCTTTTCAAGATATAATAAAGAAAAAAAGGTGGAAACCTTTGATGGAAGAGTACAGCGACCTTTGACTTGACTACAACAAACATCACCGCAAATTACACTTTAAAACAACAAATATACTCCCATCATTATATCACATTCTACACAATTAATTAACCATGGTCTCACTGTAATATTTCTGAAAGTGCTCTCTCATGCTAAGAAAAAGTAAACACTTTTTAACAAGAAGCAAATGTTACCACATGCTTTACGAAAAAGAAAAAGTATTCAAAAATACCTACAAATTGGGATCAAACTGACACATTTAAATTGTTTTCAACAAGTATGTGCAACATTAATTCTGTGCCTGTTTTAACTTTATATTGCTCCTCTTTTTTCTAATTTGTGACTGTTTTACAAATTTTAATGTCCAGCTCCAAAATTTCGGATAAATTGTTGGCATAAAAGTTTGCCATTGAGAAAACAACCTTAATTTTTTCTTTGTTGCCATATTTTATACAGCAGACACGTATAAAAACATGACCCCTACTTTTTATAAACCACCTATGACAGTGCACCCTGCTTCCCTGGGGCAGATGGCAAGCACAGGGGTCAGATAGCAATTCAACTGCCATGATATGAAAACAAACAGAGCCATCATGCTCTGGGTGCAAATATTGACTCTAGCAATAATGGATTGCGTTAGAGAAGACATCTCAACCAGCTGATACCATCTCATTATGTTTGGGGCATTCTATGGCTTTTCCTTTCGTCTTATAGGCTGAATTTTGACTCTAATATTTTTTTACAAAAACTACATTGCATGCATAGTTCAAATATGGCAGGAAGATACTAGTAGATAAGTACAAGTCCAAATATCTGAATTACAAAATTGACAGAAATTAGATACCTTTTTGAGAAAAAAAAATGATTGCTTAGCAATAAAATTGCACTTACCTCAGTTTGAAAAGATGAGACATTCAACCAGTGTTGCACTTTCTCTGCTTCATTCATCTCATTTTCACAATAGGGGGCAGCAGTGTAGGGGGTCTCTAATTCCTTTGTTGTGAGGGTGTTGTCTGACTGACAATATAATGTCACACTGTCGCTAGCACTCCCAACATCACTGGCCTAGTAGACAAAGTATGTATGAAAACTATTAATGCATAAAAAAAATGATTACCATAAATTCCTTTCTGGCATGATAAGATGGCAAAGAAAAAAGTTTCAGAATAAAAAGACAGAGCTTAATGGATCGCAAGAATAAATATATCCTTCTCTAAAATAGCTGTAAAAACTCTTCTCTGTCTGTGGCATTGGTCTACTGCAATGTTTTTTTTAATATAGAGAAAAAAATTAAGTCACCCAGAATTACAACAGACCTTATAGCCTGATGCAGAGTGGGTATCAGAGTTGATATGGGATGTCTTAGCTGTCTGTTGCCCTCTGGATAGTCTGCAGCCAAATGTTGATCTCCCACTAGCTCTGGTACTACCTCTGTAGTCTACACTAGCTTGTTCGCTAACATTGCTTTGAACAGGATGGCCAGACGGACTCCGGTGACAAACAAACATTGTCGAGCTAATGTTACTCAAAGGTGACAAATGCTGTATGTTGTTACTAGAATCATGAATGTCACCACTGATACAGTGGCTATTTGTCCTTTTGGTTGCCATGGTTGCATCACCTTGGCAACAAGCCTTTCTATCTGTGGTTATGGCTCTCTTAAATGTGTTTCTATGGTAACTGTCCATTTTGTTGGTTACCACAGTTTCTGTGTCTGTACCACTTTGAGACACAGTAAAATTACTTGCAGTTACCATGACTTCAGTTGCTACATTGCAATCATCAACTTGACTGCTGGTTGC